CGTCTATGTTATTTTACTTTAAAAAGTGATTCTTTAAAAAAAAAAACCACTCAGTGAAAAATTGAAGCAATTGTCTTTTCACATTGTGTGCACTTAAATTGTATTGTTACATCTTATTCCACAAAAATAAATAGAAAAAAATCGATCTTGGGAATTTGAGAAAATTACATATGTATACACACAAATTTTTTCAAATTCTTAGAAAAATAAAATCACTGTTGCACTGAAAATCTTATTTAGAGAGATGATTGTTTAATCACTTATGCACAAATAATACAGATATAATAAGAATAGAAAGGAATAAAATATACATAGAATGCAATAGAAAACTAAGAATCTTTAAATTAATCCTCACTTTCTCTCGAAGGACAGAAATTTGATTTGGCAGAATTAATTCCCTATTCTTTTAACTCGCTGTTTTTTACAAAATGTACATATTCACGATCGAAATAGTATCTATGCATACATATGGAGAATGAATATCCATCTACAAAATAATAAATTAAAATAATAAAAATAAAAAGCTGATGAGGTAAATGAAATGGCATAAATACAAATATCAAGATGTTTCGTCACTCGTGTAAAATGTGTCGCGTTTACCCTTTGACGAAAAGTAGTATACTAGGATTGGCTGAGATATATGCCGGAACGTAGTAGTATGCCAGCATACCATTGCAGCAGCTCCTTCTCTGCGCCACGCAATCGCTCTTCACCTGCGATACGCAAAGTCCCGCGGCAAATGGCAGCGGTGAAAATGCGGACGCGCAATCAACGGCCTCGACTTCTCACAGTCCTCCGCTCACGCAGGGCCACTCGACCTCCACTATCTTGGACTGCAAAACTAATCCCGCGCAGTATGTGCTTATCCAGGGATGGCAGCTTTTGGCGCTCGCCGTTTCCCTCTTCCTGCCCAAAAATAATCGGCTACTATGGTACCTGAAACTGCACCTGCAGAGAAATGCCGACAGCAAGTGAGTGAGTCCATCAGAAAATGGATTGATCATTGCAGAGAGAAACGTGAAAAAAAGCTCTCAAATCATTTCACGAGGAAATAGGAAGAAAAATTTCTCATAAGAACTGTTTCTAACATTTGCACTCTAATTTATTTTAAAAGGAAAAGATGATAATATGGACTGCCATCTTTTTTGTAATTTTTTTATCTTTTAATTATATTTAAGTCGATGATATTGCAAACAGTAATTTATTAATTTAAGTTTACTTCAAACACACTTGAAACAATTAAAACAGTTCACAAAATAGGAAAAATTATGTAAATGAAAAGGAACACTATGATGTAGCTATCAAAGTGTAATGATAAAAAGTGAGTAATCTGTATATTTTTATAGAATCTAGATTTTTTAGGTCTATTTATACTTCCCATGAAGTCTAAATAGCTTGAATTTATAGAAAAATTTGAATTAAGGTATCAGACTCAGAAGTTTCTTTAATAATACTTCTGCGTTGATCCTATTCTGCTATTTACTATGAATACTTCTTCTCCGCAGATACCTTTAGGAACTTCTTAAAATCATCAATCGTTTTAAAATGATAATCACAAAAATTTTTAATGAAAAACAATTAATCTGCAATATTTTTTGTAAAAAATCCCGGGGTTTACTTGTTAAAAGTCATAAAAACATTGATAAAATTTGCATTTAATTAGTCTTAGCGAAAATATAATTTTTCAAACTTATCTATCTTCTCATAATAAGAGAACAGTATCTTAAGAATTAATTTAAGATAACACTTGTTATTTACATCAATTTTATAATCATTTTAAACTTGACATTGAAAATCATACGAAAAAACTTTAATGTATGTAGTATATATCTCGTAATAGATAAACAATTATCAAAAAGCATCATCAAAAAAGCAGCAATTGTTTTACAACTTCAATATTTATTTAAAAACAAATTAAAAACTGTTGCAAAAAATGGTGTTAATTATAACAGAATTTTAAGTAGGATCCACATTAGTAGCAAAGCATTACCATCTTTTCTCTTATTACAACGTAAATGTAAAAATAAATTTTTTACTCAATTCCGGAATTTTAATAAGAAATTTTAATGTAGTTCTTTTTAGTAAAAATAAAAATCTTAGATCTTTAAGAGATAAGACTGAATTTGGAAGACTCGTGAATCTTAACAATTATATTTCTCGCAGTTTATTTTTTGCAGATATAGATTGAGTGATAAATTTTTTATGCGTTATTCATTTCCGCAAATATAAAAGTTTTATTACGGATTTTAGTCTAAAACTCTCAGAATTCGAAAAGTACTTTTCTATATGCATTACTGAAACTATTTTGATAGTATAATCTTTATCTTAATAAATGAATCTATCTTAATTGGTTTAATCAATTGAAGTAAAAAAAAACACGTCTTTTCTGCAATGACAGATCCAATTCTAATTTTTGTTACTATTGATTCATCTTGCATCACATTGCATTGTATTATACCAGAACGGAATGCGGCAAATATGCGGCTTACTGTGAGAGAGCCTTAGAGAGGACATTGCAAAACGGTAGTAGAGAAGTAAAACCGTCGAGGATGGAAGTACTTTCAATACTTATGAAAAATCCATACCATCATTCATTACCGCATGCCATACCAGTTCATTTTCTGAATGGCACCTATCAGGTTGTGAGTTTTGACGGCAGTACTACGATAGAGGAATTTCTGAATACTCTCAATCAAGAAATCGGCTGTAGGGACGTTCATCAATCCGGTTTCACGCTATTCAGCGATGATCCGATCGAAAAAGATCTGGAACATTTTATCGATCCAGAAGCGAAGGTTTGTAAAAATTGAAATCATCTTTTTACATCAAATTATTCATTCACTCGAGACTATTCATATAAAAAAATACCAAATCTTTATCAAATCAAATAATACAAAATGTATATTAATGCTTGGTAAAATTTACATTGTATTTCTAACGAAACTTATAAAATTGACAATTTTAAATAATAAAATAAGACCTTGTTATTCTATTTGATTTAAAACTTGATACAAACTATGCTTCAGCTATGTGACATTATCTCAAAGTGGGAGACAGCGTTACGAGAGAAAGGTTCGGGAAAGTTTGAGAATACTAGAGTGATACAATTGACGTACAAATCTCGTTGCTACTGGCGGCAAGCTGCTAAAATGGAAACGGACAAAGAGAGGCTCTTACTGTGTTACCAAGTGAATCAACAAGTTGTGCAAGGAAAGTTTCCACTAAATCGTGAACTCGCTTTTGAACTAGCATCGTTGATGGCACAGGTATAATTTATAATAATTAGGTTATTTTTCATGTTTTTTAAATATATTTAAATAATAATTGTAATAAATGTATTTTATTATTACTATAATTTATTATATTTATTATTGTAAATTTATTATGCTTATTGTTATTGTAAAATTAATTATTGTAAATAATTAAAGTAAAGTATAATTGAATCAATTCATTGTTCTATGATCATTTAATCAATTTCACAGATTGATTTTGGAGAATATAATAATGATAAAGCACGTGGAAGCGGCCCTGGAAGCAATCCACATCATCTTGTACTCCAAGCTCTGGATAAATTTTATCCATTACGCTATCGAGCCAATATTACCGCTGATCAATTGAGGTGAATGATTGCTAAACTCAATTTAAAAAAAATGTTAAGAGAATATTTATTTTTACGTTAAATTATACATTTTTCGCTGTTTTATAACAAATGATTTTTACTCCATCAGGGAATTGCAGGAGAAGCTACAGGAAAAGTGGATCGCTTTAAAAGGTCGTAGCGTATTGGATTGTGTTCGTATATATCTTACATGCACCAGAAAGTGGCCTTTCTTTGGAGCTACCCTGTATCAAGCAAAGGTATAATGATGCTATTACAAATATTTTATAAGTAGGAACAAGATGACTAATAATAGATTAACTGTATATAATAATTAATTAAAATATATTTCGTATATTATATACGTATGTGATTTGAATTTATTTAAATAATTTTCTTTATAGTTGAAGCAAGGCGAGTCTGTGACGGTTTGGATAGCAGTTTCTGAGGATAGTGTAACATTGCTTGAATTACAAACAATGGCTGTCATGTGCCGGTATAATTATGGGAACATAGTAACATTCGGTGGCTGTTTGGATGATTTTATGCTTGTCGCTTGCCCGGATGAGGGTGCAGCTGAACAAAAATTGTTGTTCGCACTCTCTAAACCCAAAGTGCGTATAGTAGACTAACGTCTCGTGGAAAGTTCGTAATTTAGAAAAATATTAATTTTATCTATCCTTTTTATAGATTTTGGAAATAACATTATTAATCGCTGATTATATGAACGCGCTAGGCCACGCATTACCGGGTACTCCACAAATGAATACTCTAACACGCAATGGATCACATCGATCCATCAAATCCACTTTGAGACCTGCGACTGGTCGGTAAAAAAAAAGAGATTTCGGTTTAATAATTAATTAAATATATTATATCAAATTATAATTATATTGGATTGTTTCGAAGATTGATAAATAAAAGCACAAAATTACTGTAAACATTGATTCAGAATCACTTTTGATTAATTGTTTCTTGTATCATGAATGTTGATGATCGATCTCTTTTCAGAATTAATATCTTGATAGACAAGCAACAAATTAAAAGTTAAAATTAATAGATTTTTTAACTAGTTTTTGTATAACAAAATAATGATTATATATTGTTAGTCAGCAATTAACTCCAATTAATATTTTACAAAAACAGTGTTTAATGAATTGTATTTTATTTTTTTGCAGGTTCAAGCTGTCTTCCAACTCAACCTGATATATTGAAATCCACGCCAGATCACCAAAGACCTTAAAATGTCGTATCGCGTTAATTTTTTGGAAAGACAATGAGAATATATTTCTTGGATTCGCGCCAAGATCTGATTGCGATGAATATTTTGTTTGTCGTTTGTATCATATAAAAGCAGCGTAACAGTGCAGTATTAGTATCGTACACTGCGATGTGCGGTGCGTTATTTTTTTTTTTCGAGAAGTCGCAAACCTGTTCGAATCATGTTTACGTTTGTATGTGCATGTAAATTAGTATCGACGCTTACAAGAATGTATCTGTGTAAATATTTAATAATAAGCATAAGAGCTAACCACGAACGACCGTGCTGGTGATTAAAGAGCGGCTGAAATAGAATCGAACACTAAAATCGATCTGTAACACTGCCTAATTTAGTATGTGCGATTACACATCGAATAGTTTCATCCAGCGGCTACGTAAATAATAAGCTGAGACTTTTGCTACGCATTTATATATCAAATTAAAAACAGAAACGAAAAAGAATGCGTAAAATATTGCGTAATAGTGATGTATTTACATCGTATCGTGTATATATATATTAATCAAAGTTATTAAATGTTTAGGAGTATATCTCTCGAATGATACAGCGATGCGTTTCTTTCCAATTTTCAATACCGAACGGAACATCTCCGAGCCTATATGAACGTTATCGCTATGTGATAATTTGGAACATAATTTTTTTTAATTTTATTCAAAAGTTTTTGTTCTACTTTTATCAGACAAAAAGTTTTACATAAATTTATTTTATCAAAATAAATTTATTTTTATAAATTTAATTGAAATTCAAATTGATTTAGGTTTAAAAGAGATTAGGGATGTACGATTCATATATTGAAGATCTGCGAATCGATCTCAAATCAATAGATCAATTCACCATAGAGATTGCATTAAAAAAATTGATCTCTTGAAGATTGATCCAGAAACATTTATATAGTAAAATCAGAGTTAGCAAAAAATAATGTTTTTTTTAGAACAAAACATGATGTTCACCAATTTTGAATAAAATATTTTATTTTAGCAGGGACTTCATAAAAATCATGGCACACAGAGAAACTTAAGCAATAAGGAAATCAACATATTGGATTTGCTTCTGCTTAATTAAAGTCTTAAGGTTTCTATGATTGGCCAATTCATTCAATGCTTATGTTTTATTGTGTAATCAGGTATTTGGATTTTTTCGAATGTACTCCTATCGAGAAAAATTGGAGATCGATTCACTCTTAAAACACGATTGATAACAAAATTGCAAAGGAGATTGATTAAAAATCTTTTAAAAATTAATCTTCTCAAAGGTCAAATTAAGATCGAACATCCCTAATAGAGATTCGAATCTCTTGTGAGAATTTAAATTTAATTGAAATTTTGTATATTTCATAATTTGAATTTATTCGAAATTAAATTCGATTTTGTGATATTCTAGCAAAGAAGGAAAGCATAATTCAATATAGAAAAAAAAGATTATTTTATTTTAACAATTATATATTGTAGGATAATAAATAGATCTGAAAACGAAACTGTCTCATTGACAAAAAAGAGAGAGACTGACTACTTTTCTCTCTTCTCATTTTCGAACATCATTTGCTTCTTTTATGTGAGGCTACTCGTGAAATCGATCAACAAACGAAGAAAAAATCTGATATACTCATATTAACTTTGATAACAACTAGTCTCATATCTGATATTTATTTAAGGTGTTAGCGATTATATGGTTTCTTTTTACAGGTACACGACCAAATAGATGTAATTGGGAACGTAATTTACTATTTAATATAACTAACGTTACGTTCCTTCGCGTAGTACGTGTGCAACATTGTGTATTAAAACATATGTAACGATTATAACGTTGCTATATACACACACACACACATATATATGCATACACATACACACATACACACACAGAAAGCGAGTGAG